GGGGGGCGGGGGGGGGGGCACAACGTCATCAGAGCGCAATTCCAACGCTCAAATTGTTGCCGTGATGCACGTACTTGCTCCTTCATCATCTGTTGACGCAGCAGGTCGCGCTCTTGTTCTTGTTTGGCCCGAAGTTCTTTCTCCTCTTCATCCTGCTTTCTGGCACGTGCCACATGGTACTGAGCCTGACTCAGCAGGTCGGAGCACTGCCTGCGACCCCACAACGCACATGGTCAAAGTGTTACACAAGCACGAATCCAATCCAACTCAATCTAGCAGACATACAAGCAATAATGCGAGCCGAATGAGAATAAACTTTAAAAGCATAACACGGAAATGGGACAATCAACAAAATACTACATGCATGTGTATGGTGCAATAAGCCCAAATGCAACAAAATAAATGTGTTTCTTATGTGGCAAATAAGTGGAAAAACAGCACTACCGGTATATACTGTATAACTGTATCATTATAACTTTTTGTTTTATATTTAGTTTGACAGTTAACATCAACTGGGACTGGCATTAAACAGCTTGAAGCCTTTTTTTTTAAATTATCTACCAAACTGGTTCTTGTTGTGACGTTCTCACTGTCATCTCAATTTTTTTTCTCTCAAGTCAAAGCAGAAAAAAAAATTGTTTGAACGACATCTCGTATTTCAAAATCCCATAGGTTGGGTCACTCATATCTCAAGCACCATTGTAACTTTCAAAAATCATGAAAAAAAAGTTTGTTTCTCTTCAATTTATTCCACAAACCTCTTCTGTTATCTATTGCATGCTTTGTTGCAGGTGTTGTAAGGATGTATTGTATTGTATGTTGCCATTAGTCAAGACCAAATTGCAATCAAAGATGGCTTGAGTATATGTATGCCTAAATTTATTTTTAGCGCTGATTTCCAAAGTGTATTTACTTTTTTTCTATTCTCCTGATTTTTAAAAAAGTTTTTTGTTTGTTTTTAAGTTTGACCTATTAAAGCTTGCCCAAATATGGATTTTACCATGCATTGTAATTCATAACAATCAGGTTTCAGGAAAAAAAAAAAAGTTTACCTTTTGCCAAACCAAACCGCTAAATCATAAATATTATAAAATACTTTGTGTGCGAGGAGGAAGAAAAGGGGCAATTCAGAATCACTGCAAAAATGTCATCTTAAAAGGTTTACTTTCACATGTTAAAAAAAAAAAATATGACCAGTGTTATTATTAACAATAGAATAGCAGCCATACAGTTTGCAGACTAAAAAAGAATTGGGAGGGTGGGGTGGGTCCCAAATATACCTGGCTTCAGAAGCTGCGTGTGCAAGGTCAAATCTCATCTTGTCTCCAGCTTTGCTCAGGTAACTGAAATACCTGAGAGGGGACAACAAAATGAGGAAGATGCAGGAGAGCCTGACTGGAATGATCATTTTCAAGCATTTTTCCCCAAAAAATGTCAAATTTCAAACCCAATATGGCTACATCAGGGCCGCCCTGTCCGTATGTCCGTTTGAAAAATCAAATGTGACCCTTGTGCACAAAGGTTTGGCGACCAGTAAGTGGAAAGCGACCGCCGCTACCTGTGAGCGAGTTCCAGCTCTTTGACGGAGCTTAGCACAGCCTTGAGGTTGCTCTTCTCATCCTTCAGCACCAGAGTGGCGAGCCGCTGAAGCACCAGGGCCACATTAAACATCAGTACTGTGTCGTTTGGCGCCACGTGGCGGGCCTGATTGGAACAGAACAATCCATTTCAACAGCTCATATAAAGGAACGGCATAAATAAAGTCCTTTCTAAGACAGGGTTTCTCAAGACTTTTGGGGCCCAGGGACCCATACCACAAAGATAACCCAAATTAAACATAAGTATTCCTAAATGCAATAGGAATTTGACACGTGACCATGAATGTATGAGCACTGTGAGGTTGCACTGAATTGAACTCACTTCGCAACAAGCAACAGTTTGGCAAATAGCAAACAAGTCCCCCGCCCTCCCCCACAAAAAAAGAGGCTTCAAGATGTTTAATCCACATCCCAGTTAAAATTTACAGTCAAACTCAACACAAAACCAAAAGAATTACACATTGTCTGTTAAAAACAACTACATAGCTTTGCTTTAGATAAGACAGTTTAACTTATTGCTAACAAACAATAATGGGACTAAAAAAGCATCAGTGTCATTGTGCTATAACCCGTTAAACAACAGATATCTGCACACAAATGGCAACATATGTAGAACGACAATAAAAAAAGGTTTTCAGAAATATATTCTTTATCCCCTGCGAAGAACGACTAATATTACAGCGGCTTTGGGAGGAGTTTTGACAGTCATACATATGTGTATGTCGAAATCATATATTACCCCAAAGTGGCCATGGTAACAACACCAGAACTGTGTGCAACTTTTTAAAAATGGTATGACAATACTAACCGCAAAATATTTTGCAGACACAAAAGTTATGTTTTGAGAAAGACGTCTCTGGTTTTACCTTCAGCAGCATCTGCTTGCACTCCTGGAGTTTCCCACATTTAAAGAGGGCTCGTGCCAAGTAGAGTAAGACCTCTGTGTTCTGGTGTTTGTAAAACTTCTTCAGGCAATTCTCATACTGCACAGCAGAAATTCACAATGGTGGACACTCATTGACATGCGGACAAACGGTGTCAAAACGTAAGGCCTCTTACCATTTGCACAGCGCTGATGTACTGCTTCTGCTCTACGTAGATGTGAGCCAGATTCAACCACACGTCGCTGATGTCTGCTGTGGCTTCCCTCACCTGTGCAAACACGTCCCGGGCCTCTCTGAAGTAGCCCTTGTGAGCCAGCACGGCACCTGCACACACAATATTGCTCCTGAGACCGACATCCGGCACAGGTGCTTTTTTTTTTTTTTTTTTTTTTTTTTTAAGAGTCAAATAGGAAGCTCAACACACCGATTCCATTGGCCGCATAGAGGTTCTTGGCATCATTTCGCAGGACCTGTTTGTAAATGGCCAAGGCACGATCCTGATGTCTCTTTTCCTGTACACATGAAAACATGAACAAGAAAAGGTCAGCAGAATGCAGACTTCCACAAAGGATGAAGAGTTACAAAAAAAAAGGAAATGAATACAAATGAATAACTGAATTATTCATAAACCCTATTCTCACCTAAATTAAATGGGATCTTCTTTGTCCTGAGCCTTACAACACAAATGTATTGAAATGTTTCCATTGTCCGTTGACTAATTTACAAACTAAACTTTAACTCGGGAGAGACTCCTGCCAAATTTAAGGAATTCGCTTCAGATATTTTGCAGTCCATGCTCAGGTGATAACTGGCGAGTCATTGATAAGTTTTCAGTTGTCAACTCACTCTGTGCGCACAACTCTGTGCCTTCGGCCACCAAATATAAGCTCCCGCTCCCCGCCATATGCACCTTCACACCAATTCATGTGACACAATTGCAAGGTCGCAACGGGACTATAATTTAAAATAAATAAATACATCAGAAGAGGCAGTGAAGGTGTGTGATTTTATGAGTAGATCACGGTCGAAAAAGGAAACTCCACGCACGAAAGGCCTCAGCTGACATTCAAACACAGAAATGCATAACTATGCTGCTAACCATGTAATTTACTATTAATTTATAATTTATTACCTTCTCCCGGTCTCTGGTGGGCTGGTGGAGGGTCTGCAGCCACACGTTGCCCAGAGCCAACATGGAGTAGGTGTCATTCTGCGTGGACGGCTGTTTCAGAATACGCTCAAACTTCTTTTGACCTGGCCCCCACTCCTGTTTGGCCAAGTGAAGGTTCCCTATGAGGGACCACGCATCTGGATGATCCTGCAACAAACGGTAACAGAGTATGGTGACGACATTCTGGGATCACATCAACAATAATGAAAAATGTAATGGCCATACATGGCAATGGCGAGTGATGAAAAAAGCAGAAGGGGCGTGGCCTGGCCGGGGCGTGGCCTGGTCGGGGGCGTGGTCTGGTCGGGGTGGTTACTTACAAAAGTGGCACTAAACATGCTGAAGATGAAGTGTATTCAATTTACACACTATTTGAAACTTTAACAGAAAAAAAATCCCAAGATTGTTCACTATTCTTTCAAGTGAAAATTTGTGCAATTTTGCTTATGCATTCCTAGTGAGCACCAATATGTAACTCCAAATTTGCTGCTCAAAATCAAAACTAAAAAAGTAAACACATTCCCTGCCATATTTAAGATTTGTTCATGACTTGTATTCATAGTGTTGTGTAAATGTGATAAAAAGCTGTTGATTCTTACCTCATACAGTGATAGTGAATATTTATTATGCATACAATTTATTATGCATAACCGTGCTTTATTATCCAAGACAAAACGTGAATTATCAATATGAATATAAAACGCAAATAAAAACAAATAAATGTTATCATGCTGTTGCTACAAATGCATACCAAATAAAATTGAA